CCCCCTTGATGTGTGCCAAAGATGAAACACCAACAATCTTGCACGGAAAAACAATCACGAAAAAGCCACAAAAAATTTCCGATTTATGAAATTTTTTGACTTTTTGGGTGAAAGTTGCAAGATTTTTCAAAAACCGGGTAAAAATTGTCACTTTCTGAAACTTGCAGGGACCCATTGCGCCAAAACCAACCTAATATGCGAAATTCTCCCCCATTTGCGAAACTGGGTAGAAAATGTTAATTCGCACAAACTGCAGGGGCCAGAAATGAACATTCTTCAATTTCTCAGAAAATTAGCCCAATTTCGAAGTTGGGTACTTGTTGCCAAACTGTCGAAATTTCAGGGGATGTTTTCGAAAATTCTTCATTTTTCTTCAAAACTAACGAAGACTAGGCCAATTCGTACGAAGGTTTTAAGTTTTGTCAAACAGTCGAAACTTCAGGGGCCATTTACGAAACTTTGAGCTTTTTCATTCAAAACATACGAAATTTTAACCCTTCGTATGAAATCATCTGCTCTTTTTCCTTCCCTTCGTACAAAATTCAAAACACCCTTCGTATGAAATCGTTTCTCTCTCCCCTTCGTTCAATCAGAGCATCAAATTAATGAATTTTTTTTTTCACTGATTAACAAAATCGAAGGCATTCGAAGCCTCTGAATCAAGTCTTAATCATTCAATTCCTCACTGAATCAAAAATTCGTTCTTTGCTACAAACTCAAAACAATCGACGACTTCCAAAAACAAATTCTCAAGTCTTCGAAACATCAAAATCTTTGATTCTTCGTTTTTATACACCATCAATCCAGCATCGAATATCAATTCCCAAGTCAGAATCATTCGACATGTACATAAGCCCTGTCGACCATTTGTTCTCAATTCAAGGTTTATTCTTCCTCAAATCAAACCCGATTTCGTGCAATTCTTTTATCACTAACCCCAAATCCATCGACCACACTGGAACCCTTCGTACATCAACTAATTCTTCAATCAAAACTTCGTCAGTTCATCAAATCAAAACATCAATATTAGTTAACGAATCAACCTTGACTTTCATTCCAGTCGATATCAAAATTAATCGACTCCAATAAACGAATTCCAAACCTTCAGCCACTCGATATGCTTACGTATCAAAATCAATCTCATATCAACCTATCTTCGCTATCAATCGACGAAACATAGCCACTTCCCAAAATCGACTATCAAAATCAGTCGACAGTAAGATCATTCCCAAATCAATTCTACATATCGACTAGTCACCCACAATCTTTCGAAATTGGGTTAACATACATCGACATCAAACACATTCCAGTTTGCTAAAAAAATCAATTCCCAAAATTGTTTTGTTGACCATGAACACAAGCTTTCGTTCCAAATCATCAACAGGTCAAAAACATTCGATATCCAAATCTTCGAATCTAGAATCAAACTCTATTAACGTTTTCTAGGAATCGAAAGAAAACTAAATCACCTCGTCAAATTTCTGAATCGAAATCAAATCATCACCTTTGTTCTAATTTTGAATTTTGTTTCATATGCTTTGAATTTTCAAATCAGATGAGAACGAGTTGAATCAACAGTCCAAATCGACTCCAAAGCTTTTTGATTCATTCGATTTGAACTAAACACCTATCACCATTTTAAAATCGATTGTAATCTTAACCTTTCGATTTCAATGTCACAGACGAACCAAGCTTTGAATATTGACTATCGATTTCAGATGAGCATCTCCAAATTTGATTCCAAATTGATTCACATGGTGAAATCGATCAAGAATAAGGAAAATAAAAATGATTTGATTTTGCTTGGCTCGATTTGGATACTGATCTGGAGAACCAATCGACTTCAAACATAGAATACGGAAGAATAAAAGGAATGAATAAAAGATCCGAATGAGTATGAGCTCATGAACAGTAACAAAAATCTATTTGAGCTGAAAGAGATGGATCAATGAATCATTAAAGAAATCTTGTTTGGGTTGGGCTTCCAAATCAGATGAACAGTGTATTTCGAATATATGGACTCAGTTAAAAATTTGGATGAACAGTGATGAACTCGAATTTTTTGAAGATGATTTTGCTATTTATTTGGGTTTGATCTATGAAAGAAAATAAATTGGATCTACAAGTGGGCATGAAACGAATCCGATCCAATTGAGTCAAAACGATCAAAAATAAAAAACGTAAAGCACGAATCGAAATCATGGACGTTTTGGAATCCATTTGAGAATTTGAGATACCTTTTTAACGAATCGAGTTCCGTTTTCAACAAACGAATCGAATTTAGAAGATCTTGGTTCTTTTGTTGGAATGAGAAAATCTCCAATTTGAACGTTGTACCACCCATTGTGTGAGATGTACAACTCGTTCTTTGTGTTCTTCGTGTTCTTCATCAAACCAAGAACATCTTCAAAAGAACCACCAACACTTTTAGGTTTTGACTTCAAATTCAATGCAACACTTGGAGATTGTTGCTTTGGAACCCAAATTTGCTTCATAGATTTCGGCTTTACAACAACATTTGAATAAACCCGCTTGTTTTTCCGTTTAATCTTCTTCTTCTTTTTCTTTCTCATCTTTTTGCATCTTGAAGACTTGATTTCATGAACAAACCCACTTTCCACAACTTCTTGAGTTTGAATCAAATCTTTTGGAGTTTGATATTTGTGAATTTCTTGGATCACCGGCTTCCGATAAGGAATCATTCCTTCAAACGAATCACAAGAACACAAAATAGCATCGGTTTGAACTCCAATCGAGAAAAAAACTTTCTCATCATCAGAATCAACTTGAATCTTCTTATCATGAACTTCAAGAACATCAAGAACATCACATTGAACTCCATTGTCTTGAACTTCAACAAACTTAAGAGCACGAAGATCATTTGGGTCTTCAATAAGAGACACATATTTCTTTTTGAACAAATATTTTTCTTCTCCATTCTTATCACTACTACGTATTGATATGGACCATGTAATATCAGCCAACCATTTGATCTCACAAAGTGGTTGAAATATCAAGCTTCCATGATAATCCTTCAATCCTCCATAAGAAACCATAGTTCCCCAATATATCAACTTGTTTAACACCAACCCATAATATTGATCTTTATTGACTTTGTATTTGACATCTTCAACGATCACAATCCAAGAATTATATGACAAATTCACCATGATCACAAAAACTTGAAGATTTCTAGAGAGAGAAAGTGATTTTGAATGGGTTTTCTAGAGATAGAAAGTAAAAATCGCTTGAATTGTAGTGAAGAAAATCGAATTATGAGTAGAATCAAAGATGAATTCGATTTTTAGAATCCAAAAACTCTCTAAATCATGAAGATAAAAAAACTCAAAATGAAGAATCACCAAATATAGAAAGCCATCAAGGATCAATTCTTGATCCAATCAAGAACACCCGCTCTGATACCAATTGTAGAGGTTTGATTATGATGGCATGTGCGGAATTAAGAATGATTTAGTGAATCATCAAGTAAAATCAAGAACATGAACACAAGAAGTAAATAATTCTTTTAAGCTCTCATTAGTTTCATAGAAAGAGTACAAAATGGGTTTTGCAAATTCTCTCTCTAAACTAATCTCTCAAAATGTTCATTAGATAAAATAAATGTCACTCACTTCCTTATAAAGGAAAGACAACTCGTTATGCACAATCAAAGGAGTAAGCCCTCATAACATCCAAGAGTGACTTTGCACCCTTACATCTTTCTTATATTTCGTTCCTAAGGTTTTTAAAGGTTTTAGATGTGAGCTATTAGATACATCCACATTATTGGTGTTTGCTTTCCAAACGAAGACTTGAAGATTTATCTAGTTGTATTCGATTATAACAAATGTATGTGTTCGAAACCATGTAAATTTTGATTGTACATAAGTTAGTTAAGTGTTTCATAAGGCTTTCCGGTGTGGTACATATTCTCACATGTAGAGGCTGAGGTGGCAAACTTTTCCGCACGTGAATACCGTTCCCAAGGGGCTTAGGTGTCGTGTGATGTGAATCCGGCTACGAGTGAAGACGATGAATTTGATTGGTTAATGTCATTTGACCGTTTCGTTGTGTACGTTGGAGGAATTATTTTTTTTAAATCTTAAACTTAACCCACTAACCTATATATACAAACACTTAAACACATTTTTACATCCTTCAAACTCACTGATGCGAAGTGAGCTCTTGGTATATCAAATGGGCCTTCACTTAGCGATTGAGTCCTGGAACACAAAGGAAGAATTGTTAGCCGTTCTTCTGGATAGGATCCCAGGAGGACGCTTTGATGGTGAAGTTAGTGATCTTTCTTAGAGAGAGTATTCTGAGAACAATGGGGTTGAAGAACTTACCTCCTGGAGGGATAGCCGTTTTCCTTATATAGTTGACATGGACGGTGCTCTCTCCATTGAGGAGACAAGAATGTCAGCTCTGATACGGGACAAAGCTAATGATTGGAAGGGATATCCTCTGCCTTCTGCTCTAGGGTGTGATTGGTCCATGCAAGGGCTTAGTGGTGCGTACACCACTAATTTTTTCGGCTGACACCGTTTTGTCGCTAGGAGACTTTCCCGCCGTGTGCTGGGGCGGGGAGGTGCCAGGAAGGCTACTCTCACGGACGTAATCTTCCTGGCTGGCGCGGGATCGCTCCTGCCCAGTTTCTTGCGTGGCTTCCGAGGCGCCACCACCTGGCATGACCCTACGGTCTGCTATCAAGTCTCCCTACTCTTAGCTGTCATGACATAGACTTGCTTAGTCATGATGGGTGGACTAGCCTATACAACTGTCTCTTGATGGTTGATTATCCTTCTGATGATTTTTCCCAGACGTGACCGCTATCTTCGGGTGACGTCGGTTGCAGTTACCCATTATTAGGGTTTTCCCGCCCATCTTCTTAGACCCTATATAGTCGCTTGTTGCCATTTTTGTGTTACTCATTTTTCTTCTTCTTTCTCGTTTTGATCACTCGCTGCCTCTTACTTGTAAGATCTTCATGGAGTCTCATGCTGGTTTTTTTTCCTACTCATTTTCAATCGGAAGGTTTTCAAAATCGATATGGGTTTCAACTTGACGATGGGGTCACGATTCCGGTGGAAGGCTCTGTCATTACCCGTCCCCGTCCAAGTAAAGTTGGGATTTATCTCAAACATTTTGACATTGGTTATCGTTTGATGTCATCTGATTTTCTTCTAGAACTGTTGGATCATCACAAGATCCATATCAATCAACTTGTTCTGAATGGTGTGAACAAGAATGTTGCTTTTGAGATGCTATGCCGATGTAACAATATTGTGCCTGATTTTTGGGTATTTCGTCACTTTTTTTTCATCTGTCGGCTTCGTCTTTTTAGATGCTGTGCCAGAGTATGTTCTGTCTGGGGAAGGTATGAGCACTTCCTGGCGTTTGTGCTGAAATATGCATGAGTTTTACGTTGTTGTTAAAGGTATGCTTTTTGGTTTACACTCGTGTACTGTTTGTTTCTTTTCCTTTCTCCTTTCTTCTTTCTCTATTCTCTTCTTTCCCCCCTTTTGTTTAGTATGGGTATACCTTCGTTACAAGGGTGTAGAAGCATGTTCGGTTTATTGATGTGCTAACAAATAAGTGGGCCGTGACTCTCAGATTTCAGGAGGTGTCGCTTATGGATATTATTCTTCCATCATTATACTTTCAAATCGAGGAGTTTATTTTAAAAGTTGCAGCTGTGCAAGAGGCCAAGCATTTGGCTGGAGGGTCATTCAAAACTAACGCCCCTGAGGCTATTTTGCATGAAGTCTTCGGTGGAAGTAATTCCAGATATGCTGGTGTCTTTGCTGAGTCCATTGAAGATAGTAAGGAAGGTACCATGGCTGCTGTTAACAAGAGGAAATGCATGTGGGAAAGTGTTGGGACGTAAGTTGAGCCCTTGGCAGTTGCCGTTATCTTCTTCATCGTCGGTGGTTTTCTTTAAATTTTGGTGTGTCGAAGCGAGATGGTTGTGATAATGTTGTTATTTATTTGTCGGATGATCAGGTTGGAAATGTTGTGGGTGAGGTTGTCGAGGGTGTCAAGCAGGATGTAGATTCGTCAGGAAAGATAGGACCTAGTTCTGAAAAGGTGGTGTCTGGTGACGAAAAAGGGAAAGGTCTTGACATTTTTGTGGTTGAGGAGTGTAATGATAGTTGATTTGTTGATGGTGGATGTTTCTTTTCTCTTGGGCCGGGGAGTGCTACTGCGCCGAATGGTTTAGATGCAACTGATGAAGATAGTTCTGGTGTTCGTTTTGTTCCTCAATGGAATCTGGGCGATTGTGCAAGGTTATATGTTTTCTTAGTTGTCGAGGAATACATTCGTCATGCATTTCCTCCTGGCATTATTGTTGATATGGAAAGCCATTCATTGGCGGATTTCATCGGCCCTCTTTAGTTTGTTGTTGATCAGAGTTCTTGTTTCCTAGCTGAGTCAGCGAGGCGTCTCTAAGAGTTTGTCAGGGTGGATGCTGAGCGGACGCAGCTTCACCAAGATCTTTAGAATTATGTTGTTGAGAATGGGAAAAATACGAGTGGTGGATGATGACTATCGTGCGAAGGTGAGCTTGATGGAATCGCGTTTGCATGAATCTGAATCAAAGGCAGAGGTAATGGCTATGGATAGGCGAAGCTTGGAGGATAAGGTTGCTACATTGGAGTTTGAGGGTGCTGCTGTGAAGAAGGAGTTGGAGAAAGTGAAGCACGAAAATGAATGTTTGTTGATTCAGCTTGAAAGTGTTGAGAGGGATGTAGTGGAGCATAGCCGTGTTGCTTCTGAGAGAATGGTGGCGTTGGAATAGGTTCAACAGGATCGCTAGTGGTTGTTAACTGAAGGTGTTGTTGGGGTGGTGAATAAAGTTTTGGATAACATGCAGTTTGGTTAAGGAGTAAACCGCTTCTAGGATGCTTGTTTGGCTGTCGGTCGGCAAGAGGGGAAACAGGAGTATCGTGAGGTGCTAATGGTTGGGAGGGTGAACTTGCAGGATGAAGATCTTGATATTGATTATTCTCACGACATGAATCAGGCAGTGGAGATGTTTGCTACAACGGATTTCACGTCTTTGTTTCGACTTTGGCAACTCAACTTGGAGGAGTTGAAATAGTTCATGCGTTCTGGTGAGTAAGGTGGACGTTGTTGTTTCCTTTTGTTGATGATTTGTAAGCCAATTTGGTCTCATGGACAATTGTTTATTGTTGTTTTTTTGCTAGTGTGTAGAGCGGTTTGGTCGTCTGTATAGATTTTTGTTTTTTGTTGTGTTAATCATGCATGAAACTGGTTGGTTGTTTGAATTCGTTTGAGCCATATTGTGCTATTCTGACTTGTGATTAATAGGTCCTCGTTGTTGTAGTTGGTCTTACTTTAAAGGTTTGGTGTTACTATATCTACGTTGCAGGTCAGGACCAAAGGTCTCGTAACTTGAAATGTTTGTAGTTATGGGAGCAGGGGTCGCCATGATTTGTCGTAGGTTAGGACCAAAAGTCTCATAACCTGAAGTGTTTATAGCCATGGGATCGGGGATCGCCATGCTTTGCCATAAGTTCAGACCAAAAGTCTCATAAACCGAAGTGTTTGTAGCCATGGGACCGGGGATCGCCATGCTTTGCCGTAGGTTAGGACCAAAAGCCTCATAACCTGAAGGGTTTGTAGCCGTAGGACCGGGGATCACCATGGTTTGCTGTAGGTTAGGACCAAAAGTCTAATAACCTGAAGTCTTTCTAGTACTTAGGCTATTGTTGTTGGGTTGATTTTTCCTTTTAACCACTATCTTAAGGTCCGTCCCCAATATAGGTTTTGCACATTGTATATGAGTAAGATTTAGGGAAAAAACTTTCATTGCATTGATATTTGAAAAGCTTCCGTGGTTGGGTGATCAGTCCAATCGTTGGATACACATGCTTTATTTTGGGAAATAAAGATAAGTATAGAAAATTAAGAAATTACTAGATGTTGCTAGGAGACCTGGGTTGCTGTGAAAGTACGGGTATTAATAGTAGAAAAGACGTAGGTTTTGGACATGCCATGTTCTTAGTATTGGACTTCCTTATGGCATTTCTACGATATATGTGCCCTTTCGAAGTACCTCAGTGATGCGGTATGGTCCTTCTCATGACTTTCTTAGCTTTCCTATTGGCTATTGTCTGCTGGCTTCGTTTTTCCTTAACACCTAGTCTCCTACCTTGAGTGCACGGCCGTAAGTGCATTTGTCGTGGTGTTTTGCCATTGCGGCCTTGTAGGATTCCTTGCGTAGAGCAACTATTTCCCTTTTTTAATCTAGTATGTCGAGGTTGTGGCGTAAGTATGTTCTGTTCTGCTCTTTGTTCAAGTTTTCTGTTCGAAGAGACTCCATCAGGACTTATGGGGGAAGTACTGCCTCTGTCCCGTATACTAGACTAAACAGAGTTTCGTTTGTGCTAGTTCGCGGTGTGGCTCGGTAGGACCATAACAACATGGGGAGTTCATCGACCCAACAACCTTTTGCTTTTCCAAGTCGTTTCTTTAGTCCCGTCAAAATTGTTCTTTTGGATACTTATGTCTGATCATTGGCTTGAGGATGAGCTACAAATGTGAAGTGTTGTTAGATGTTCTGCTCTTTGCACCGATCTTTGAAAGGGTTCGCTACGACTTGTAGCCCATTATCGCTGACTAAAACCCGTGGCGTGTCGAATCTGGTGAGGATGTTTTTCCACATGAATTTTATCATGTTTCTTTTTGTGACCGAGGCCATTTCTTCTGCTTCAATCCATTTTGTAAAGTAATGTACCGCTACAATGAGGAATTTAATGCATCCTATGGCTTATAGGAATGGACCCATGATGTCTATGCCCCACTGGTGAAAAGGACATGGGGAGGTGATGTTGTTTAGCGTGGTCACCGATAGATGGTGTAGAAGAATTTACATATGGCATGAATTGCATCTGCACGTGGTTTCGGTGGCATCTTGGTGTATTTCCGGCCAATATACATTCTACCACATCCTTGACTTTTTCCTATAGGGGTTGTATGCCGTGTTGAGTGACGTAGTATCCCAAGAATTGGTCCTTTTTGGCCTCAAAGATGCATTTAGCTGGGTTTAGCTTCATATTGGTTGTTTCCAAGGTCTTGTATGTTTCTTCTATATCTGCAAGCAATGTTTCATTGTTTGTGATTTTAATTACCATATGATCCACATAAACTTCCATGTTTCTTCCTATCTGGTTCCGGAAGATTGCGTCGACCGGTCACTGGTACGTGGCTCCAAAATTTTTAAGTCCAAAAGGCATTTTTATGTTGCAAAGCATGTCATGATCTGTGTAAAATGTTGTCTTCTCTTTGTCTTCTTTCTTCATTAAGATTTGGTGGTAGCCTTTGTATGTATCCAGGAAACATTTCTATTTGAAACCTTCTAGGGAATCCACTTTCAATTCTATCTTTGGGAAGGGGTAGCAGTCTTTCGGGCATGCTTTATTGAGGTCAGTATAATCGATGCACATTCGCAAGGAGCTATCATGTTTCTTTACCATGATGGGGTTAGCTATCCAGGAAGGAAAAATTCCTTCTTGGAGGATGCCAGCCTTGGTGAGCATTGTTACTTCATTGTTGATTTCTTTGTTGCGCTCTCCTACTTGCCCCCTCCTTTTTTGCTTGATTGTTGTGCTTCCTGGCGAAAATTTGAGACTATGTTCAACAATGATCCTGTAGACACCTACCATATCGGTTGGTTCCCAGGTGAAAATGTGCCTGTATTTTTTCCAGCAGTGATATGATTCTGGTTCTCGTTCTTCCTTCCAACGTTTTGCTGATGCGAATTGTTTGTTCTGGGAATCTCTATTAGATCACTTCCTTCTCTTTTGGTTCTGCCTCTCTTAGTCGTTTTTGTCCTCTGGCAATCTCTTCCGGTTTAAGGACTTGATTGCATTCGAGTCACCTTAAAATTTCCACAATGATGATGGCTATTCCTTCATTTGTTAGGAATTTCATTAAGCCGTGAATCGTGGATACAATCGCTCCATATTGTAATACTATTGTCCATCCCAGTGGTATTCACAATATTTGTTTTTGTTTGGGAATTGGTGTGTGCCTGGTCGTTGAGTTAGCTGCTTGCCGGTTATTTCCAGGACGTCAAGTTTTTCTCTATCGTCTGTCATCACATATGTACGGCTGGAAATGGCGACTCGTCTTGTGTGTGTTGGTGTTGTTGTGCCTCTGGGGCTGTTGAGGGAAATGGCGTGCTTATCTCTGGCTGTGGGTTGTTCTTGTTATGCGGAGGTAGGCTTCTTTCGTTGCTCTGCCTTCTTCTTTCCTTAGGTATCATTCAACTCTTTCTTTTAGTTCTTTTTAGGTTGTGGGTTTTTCCCACAAATTCCATGATACCGTTCCTAATAGCAGGTTGTACGTAAATGCCCCTGCGACTAGTTTGTCGTCCTGGCCGGGTATGTTTAATGTCGCTTCATTGAACCTTTTGAAGTATTCCCGGATACTTTTTTTTCTTTCTCTCTCTCTCTCTCTCTCTCTCTCTCTCTCTCTCTCTCTCTCTCTCTCTCTCTCTCTCTCTCTCTCTCTCTCTCTCTCTCTCTCTCTCTCTTTCTCCCTCTCTCTCTATTTGTTTGCACCCAGGGATCTCTCGCACATCCCTTCGGTACTTCTGGAGTTGCATGAATTTGGTGAGGAACAATTCCTTTAGTTGGGTGAAGTTGTGGATGCTGTTTAGTGCAAGGCTTTTGAACCACACTCATGTGTTACCGTCTAGTGCTGTGGGGAAATATGTCCACCAGAAACGTTTGTCTAGTTTGAGTGATTTCATGTGCCACTCATAGGTGTCGATGTGACTATCAATGCTTGTTGTGTCATGATATACTTTTAGGTGGGGCATCCTTGCTGTGATTGGGATGTCGTAGTTCAGTAGTTCTGGGACAAAGGGTGAAGTGTTTGTGGTTGAGAAAGGTGTTTGGATAAATATTTGTGAGAATTTATAAATGGGTTGCTGAGGGAAAAGTGTATTGTGCGGAAAGGCAGCAAATGTGTTTTCGGAAAAGTATTTCGGTAGATGGTAACGTTACGATATATGTCGGGGAAAGTTGTTGTTGGTGTTTAAGTTGCGTTGTACGATGGCGTTTGTTGGTTGATACTTATCCACACAAACATATTTCTGACTATGGGGATGAATATCGGCGGTTGGTTCATCGTAAACGACATCGGTTGGATCATCAGGGGTCGTGATAATGGTTCGTTGTTCCCATTTGACTAACTGTCGGAAAAGGAGTTTGCATTTGTGTTCCATGGATGGACTTGTGAGTTGGAATGGTTGGGTGTTCACCGGTGTGAGTGGTTGCTGCCAAGGCATGATGGTTGGTGTGAATGTGTGTGGGAATGCCATCAGAGGCTATGTAATTAGGGTTGTGTTGGTGGCATAGTCTAGT